TAATGCTCTGTGTGTTTTCCCATTGGGTTAAAAAGCTTTCTCTGCAGGCAAGCAACAGCGGTAGCAGTTGGAAAATCCTACGAGAAAAAACTATCCCACTGTGGCAAGTCCCTTGTGAACTTCACAGCAACAGGGGAACTTACTTTACTGGCCAGGTTATTCAAAATATTTGTAAAATTTGGCCCATATTTTAACATTTCCATTGTGCCTACCATCCGCAATCCTCAGGCCTAGTGGAGAGGCACAACTGGCTAAATTCGCCTCCAGCATTTCACCTCCCCTGGACCAAAGCACTCCCCCTAGTGCTGCTTAAACTCCAATCCACCCCTTTTGGAAAACGCCTGTGTTCTTAAGAAATAATAATGGAGGCCCACGTGTATGGGAACAAACGTAACCCAACTTTTCTCAAGGGAGATTATATTGTAATATTGTGAGGGACTTATCGCCTTAAAGAAAAGCCAAGATTTGGTAAAGAATTCCTTTCATAGTGTGCTCCATGAAGATAGGGTGCCTGGTCACAGTCTGCAACCCAGAGATTTTGTCTATTGGAAAAGCCATCTAATAAAGAATTCCTTTCAACCCCAGTGGAAGAGCCCACACCAGGTACTATTGACTAATCTACGTCCCATAAAATTAGAGGGTGTAGACTCATGAATTCACATCTGTCATCTTAAGGCCCAACCTCCTGAGTGGACTGTAACTCCCACCAAAGACCTTTGCCTCCATTTCACTAAACATTGACCTTCAACCCAGGATGAGAAGCAGACAGCAGCTGTTGTGGACTGCTTAAACCCAAGACACAGGACCAGGCCTGTACACAAAGAAATGTCTATGTTTACTGTACAATAACCATTACAATTATTGTCGTAGATATACTGTCATCTGCTGTCTAATAAAGAACGGGGACTTGCCTTGTCTGATTTAACACCCTTTAGTAACTAAGATGAATTTCAAAACTTTGCTATTAATCATGTATCCCTTCACCTTCTTGCCACTGCCACCCACGAAACAAACCTATTTCTACAACGGGCTCAGGATTCTGCAGACAGATTACATAACACCTGCTGGATATGTGGACTCACGCCTCTTTCCTGTGGCTCCAGCCTCCCATAGTGGGTATCCTCCTTCCAAGGTCAGGACTGGATAGAATACCAAAAATTTATTATATCACAAACACAGTCTGGTATTCCTTGTGCTGGCATAACAAAAGACAATATATATAGTCGGCCCATTAAAAAAACTCTTGGCCAGGCGCAGTGTCTCACGCCTGTAATCCCAGCACTTTAGGAGGCCGAGGCAGGTGGATCATTTGAGATCAGGAGTTTCAGACCAGGCCTGGCAAACGTGGTGAAACCCCGACTCTACTAAAAATACAAAAATTAGCCAGGTGTGGTGGCGCATGCCTGTAATCCCAGCTACTTGGCAGGCTGAGGCAGAAGAATTGCTTGAACCCGGAAGTTGGAGGTTGCAGTGAGCCAAGATCACGCCACTGCACTCCAGCCTAGGCGATGGAGTGAGACTCCATGTCAAAATAAATTAATAAATAAAAACACTCTTAAGAAGAAGGGACATGGGAAAAGTTTTTCAATGGAGAGGACCAGCTCATTAGCTCTTACTTTAGCATTTCCCCAACTAAAAGTGGTGACCATGCCCCAAACAATGGCCTTTTCAAAATGGAATAATGCAAACTTGGGATGGATTTATCTGGTTCAGCCCTTCGTTTGGCCAACCCAGCCAAAATGCTCCTTTGTGCTGGGAGCAAAGAAATCCCATCCAAGACCTGTGGCCAAACAGTAGGAAGAGCTATGTGGTGGACAGCAGGAGAAATGTTGTGACTACATTGCCATATTACGAGACACTGCCTAGCATACCACCGACTGGGTGCAGCAACCAAGTATTTACTGGCTAGCTCCAAATGGGACATACTGGCTATTTGGCACTAATTTATGGCCGTGGTCACCTCCAGGGTGGTTGAGACGATGCTCCCTAGGTTATGCTTGGGCACAAGGATGAGTAAGGCAGACCCTGCCAAAAACAGCAAACCTTTTTCATTTACAATCTCATTGGACACATTCAGTATTCCAACGGTATGATCATTTAACTTCAATCTTTGTACCACAGATCGCTATTGAAGATGTTATATGGGATACAGAAGCCTTGACAAATTGCACCCAAAAGGCCCTAAACGATGGCGTCATGCTTACGAGGAAAGCTGTGCTGCAAAATCGTATGACTTTAGATATGTTAACAGCAGCACAAGGGGGCACATGCACCATCATAACAATGGAATGTTGTATGTATATTCCAGATATCGAAGAACATAACCCGGCTTATGACTGATGTGAAAACCCAGATAATCAACCTGTCAGATCCAAAACCCTCACTGATTGGTTGAGCAGTTGGTTTGGATTCTGGGGAACTTGGTACTTATAAGAATAATTTCTGATCTGTCCTGTTTTTGCTTATAATGTTGTTACGGTATATGTTTGCAAATAAGCCCACGTGTAGCTGAAAGGGCTAGGATAATGATTGCCCAGAGAATTGCTGTAGTTGAGGAGGTAGTAATATAGCCTGACCCAGCTTCCAGTTTTGCCCTCCTTTTGTTGCTATAGGTCTGGCCTAGGTCCCTATACATTTTTCTTTTTTTCCTCTTTCTTTTTTCCTTTTCTCTCTGTTTTTTATCTTCGTGGGACGTGACCTCCTAGGAATGAGCATTCCTAATGATGTAGGACCTGAACTTCTAGGAATAAACCATCCTAGCAACGACAAACCAGCAGGTGGGAAAAAAGAAGGAAGCAGCAACCTGAGGCCAGGAACCCAATTCGTTTTTAAAATGCTTTTCTCCAAAAGATTTTAAAGAAAAAAAGGGGGGAAATGTGAAAGGAAATTAAATTTTGGGACCCCAAACTCATTTAGCCAAAGGGAAAAGTCAAGCTGGGAACTGGGTCATGCAAACCTACCTGCCTCCCCCTTTTGGTTCCTAAATAAGATGGCTACAAGATGAAAGGCTACAGGCCTCCCCCATATTTTGCCCACAAGGAGATTCCTGGTGAGCTGTTCAAATTTCACCATGGTGGCCGGGCGCTGTGGCTCACGCCTGTAATCTCAGCACTTTGGCAGGCCGAGGCGGGTGGATCACTTGAGGTCAGGAGTTTGAGACCAGCTTGGCCAACATGGGGAAACCCCGTCTCTACTAAAAACACAAATATTAGCAGGGTGTGGTGGCACTCACCTGGAATCCCAGCTACTCAGGAGGCTGGGGCAGGAGAACTGTTTGAACCCGGAAGGTGGAGGTTGCAGTGAGCGGACATCACGCCCTCCAGCCTGGGCGACAGAGGGAGACTCCATTTCAAAAAAATAAAAACAAAAATAAAACGTAACCATGGCAATGCAAATTGATAGCTTATTTTTACAGGTGCAGTCACCCTAGCCCATCTGATTGTTCCCCTACCCCACTTTGTCTGCGTTATCTTACGTAATGTGCAGATTCCTCACATTTCTCCTCTGCCCCCTTTTGTTTGTGAAAAATCTATGCTTGTCAATACTCCGCCCTTTCCCCTTTAAATCTGAAGCCCTCAAAATCTTATCTTTGGAGAAAGGCATAGCCTTGTCTCCTGGGTGCGTCCTTAACTTTGGCAAATAAATCTCCTAAAATGATTAGAGACTTGCCTTGTCGTTTTCTTCCATTGACAATATATACACACATACATACAATAGATA